TGCAGATGTCTCTTCAATACACTGATTTCTCTTCTTTTGGATAAATGCCCAGAAGTCAGATTGCTGGATCATATTAGTTCTATTTGCAGATTTTTTTTTGAGGAACCTCTATACTGTTCTCCATAGTGGCTGAACTACTTTACATTCTCAACAACAATGTATAAGAGTTCCGTTGTCTCAACATCCTCACCAGCATTTGTTACTATTATTTTTTTTATGATAGCTGTCCTAACAAGGGTGAGATGATACCTCACTGTAGTTTTAATTGGCATGCCCCTGATGATTAGTGCTAGTGAGCATTTTAAAATACATTTTTTGGCCATTTGTATATCTCCTTTTAAGAGATGTCTTTTCAGATCATTTGCCCATTTTTAAGTTGGATTTTTATTAGCTGTTGAATTGTTTGAGTTCCTTATATATTCTGAATATTAATTCCTTGTGGGATGAACAATTTGTAAATATTTTCCTTCCATTCTATAGGTTGCCTTTGTATTCTGTTTATTGTTTCCCTTTTTGACATAAATTTTTAGTTTTATATAATCCCACTTGTTTATTTTTTTTCTTTTGTTGCCTGTGCTTTCGAGGTTTTATTCATAAAATCTTTTCCTAGATCAGTGTCATATGTTTGGTTTCAGACCGTTTCCCCAATGTTTTCTTCTAGTAGTTTTATAGTTTCAAGTCTTACAATTAGGTCTCTGATTCATTTTGAGTTGATTTTTGTGTAGGGTGAGAGATGGGGGTCTAGTTTCATTCTTCAAAATATGGATATTCCATTTTCCCAGCACCACTGATTGAAGTCATTGTCCTTTCCCCAGTGAGTATTCCTGGTGACTTTCTCAAAAATCAGTTGACTGTAGGTATGTGCATTAATTTGGGGGTTTTAAAAAATATTATTTCATTGATTTATATGTCTGCTTTTATGGCAGTACTATGCTGTTTTTGTTACCACAGTGTTATAGTATATTTTAAAGTCTGTTGGTATAAAGCCTCTAGCATTGTTCTTTTTGCTCAGGACTGTTTTGGCTATTTGGGGTCTTTTGAGTTTTTATACAAATTTTAGGACTTCTATTTCTATAATGAATTCCACTGGTATTTTGATAGAAATTGCATTGAATCTATAGACTGCTTTGGATAGCATGATTATTTTACCAGTATTAATTATTCCAATCCATGAGCCTGGGATATCTTTCTACTTGCATGCTTTCCAATTTCTTTCATTGGTATTTTTGTTTTTTTCTTATAGAGGTCTTTGATTAAATTGTTAAACTGATTAAATTGATTCCTAGGTATTTTATTATTTTTGGTGGCTACTGTAAATGAGATGGTCTTATCTGTTTCTTTTTTAGGTAGTTTATTGTTTATGTATAGAAACATTACTGATTTTTATATGTTTGATTTTGTATTCTGCAAATTTACTGAATTTGCTTAGCAGTTATAGGAGGGCTTTTTTGGTAAAGTTTTTGGGGTTTTCTGTATATAAAGTCATGTCATGTGTAAACAGGACAATCTGACTTTCTGCCTTTCCATTTGGGTGCCCTTTATTTTTTTTCTCTTGCCTAATTGCTCTGGCTAGGACTTCCAGTACTGTGTTGAATAAGAGAGACCATAGCTTTTTTTTTTTTTTTTTCCATGCCTGTGTTGTTAGACAGATACATTGCTCATGATTTTCAATTTTATAAAGAACACTGAAACCAACGTCTTTGAATGTAAAGCTTCTTCTATATTGGAGGTTATTCCCTGAGAAAAGATTCTTAGATGTCTAGACAGATAAGACTGAATCTCTTTAAAGTGAAGATACATATTTATAAACTACTCTCAGCAGTATTAGCCTCATCAAACCTTTGTCCTCTGCTGTATTCAACAATCATGCACAGAATTGGCAAGTTTCCTAATATATTAATTTCAAAATCTTTTTTTTCTTTATTACCATGAAGTTGGAGATCATTCTAATCATTTATTGTGTGTTGGCACCTCTCCCAGTCCACACAGTTTCAATGACAGTCATTGTGACACTGCACAATCACTTGCATGTCTTCTTCAGTGCTCTGGGTTTCACACTTTATTTAACCATCTCAAGCTCCTTAAATCAAAGCATAGGGTATGGTGGTTTTGGAATGGAAGCCAGCAGAAACTGAAACGCTTTATCGAAACATGAAAACAGAAATGAGTTTGGTCCCTTTAATTGTCATATGGAAGATTTAACTTGTTACTTAAGCTTTTAGTACATCACGTTTAGAGCAGTATCCTTTACTATTATTTTTTTTCTCAACCATTTTTCTTTTCTTTTTTTTTTTTTGTCTTTTTTTTTTGAGACGGAGTTTCGCTCTTGTTACCCAGGCTGGAGTGCAATGGCGCTATCTTGGCTCACCGCAACCTCCGCCTCCTGGGTTCAGGCAGTTCTCCTGCCTCAGCCTCCTCAGTAGCTAGGATTACAGGCACGTGCCACCATGCCCAGCTAATTTTTTGTATTTTTAGTAGAGACGGGGTTTCACCATGTTGACCAGGATGGTCTCGATCTCTTGACCTCATGATCCACCCGCCTCGGCCTCCCAAAGTGCTGGGATTACAGGCATGAGCCACTGCACCCGGCCCCATTTTTCTTTCTTTTCATCTTTTGGGTATGTTCCTTTAAAAAAACTTGCTATTGAAATATAATCTGCTTCAAATTTTATATGAAGATTTTGTATAAGTGATTCATATATTTGAACCATGACTTGTCATGTTTTTTAGCATTTCTGAATTATTACTTTATAAAATGAAATAATTGTTTGTTTTAAAGAGAGACACTTTCAGCATTTACAAGGAAGAAAACAGTTATTCCAAAGAACAAGTCATGTCAACTCAACCTTCTTCCTTTAAGACAGTCTTTGCACTGATTGGAGAAATGCAATAGACAGAGTATCACTGTCTAAAAGGAATTTGATGCTATTCTCAAGCTCAATGCATAAGCAATTTAGGATATTAGTAATTAGTTCAGATTTGGATTAACAGACAAAAGTCAACCTGGAAGATGGAATCTAGTGCAAGCCGTAAGGTTCTACTATTGGCATTATCCAGATTGTTACTTATATTAATGATGGGGATGAAATTAAAGAAAAAATTGATTTATAAAATTTTTCAGCTTGTGGAGAAAATGATGATGGGCTGTAGTACTTAGATCAGTTGAAGAAGATGGAAATCATAGTGGTAAATATGACTCTGTACTTGGGTTCCAAAAATATAGCCACACCTATACATGTAGAAGCAGGTTTATAACCTAGATTTTTATTTTTGGTTAGGGGAGATGGATAAACACTAAGATGTTGGCAATGTTAATAGAAACCCAATATAAGTAAGGATAATAGTGATAGTCTAGTAATCATATATCAATAAGAGCACATGTAGACTGCTGTTTTGTGTTCTAGTCACTGCACATTAAGAGGACAAAATGGAGTTCCTAGAATGAGTAGCTAGGATAGCTTGCAAGACTTGAACTTTTATCATATGAGGAATTGATGAAGAGGAATGTTTATGAGCCCAAGAACCATCTTTCAGTATCTAGACCTTTTTGCACAAGCAAAAGCAGACTTGCTGTGCATTCTGAGGAACAGAAGCAAGACTATTGGGCATAACTATGAGATTAATTATGGGGAGTCATACTTGGACTTAATAGAATTGATTATTTCCAGCATTCAGAGGTGTTTCTAGATGGAATAGAATCTGCTATAGACATTATCATGTCTTCTCTATTTCTGGATACACTGGAGGATTCCATTTCCCCTTCTCAAATTAGGCATGGCCATGTGACTGGTTCTAGCCAATAAAACATGCATAAAAGTGAAAATGTCACTTCTGTTTTAGCGCATTTAATGTACTCTTTAGCACTGTCTCCCCTTGGGTTAAAATGGACATACCAGCTATGATCTCTAAGGGGTTACAATGGTCAGAGTGTCTCCCAACCACCTCCACTCCCACCCCTTAGACCCAGCCACACACCTACATTGGACATGTATTTTGAATGGAAAATAAACCTTTGCTTTTTTTAGGCACTGAAGTCTATAGGTTTTATTATGGCCTCCTAACCTTTATTATCCTGATTGCCACCAGTGCCTTCAAGATGTAGTGGTTCTTTGTGAATGAGCAACAGAAAGACAAGCATTGGATTATTGAGAGATTTTTGGTTCAGCAACTCACATACTTGCATTCTTTGCATTTTACTTTCATTGCTACACTGAATTCAGACTATTGTTGGGGGTACAGTTTAGTCAACTGGAATTTTCAGCTGGCTCCAGGACCTCCTGGGAGATGAATCCCAGTAAAGTGAGCAGAGATAATTCTCTTCATATGCACACCCTTCATTAACTCCACTGCATGCCCAGCAACATCACATATTTATGATCCTTTTTTCTTTGGAAACAGCTAACAACAACTAGATAGTTCACCCAGCAAAGATTCTATTACCACACGCATTATGTATGAAGACTTGAGGCTCACAAAAGAGCTCAGGGGAAAAGTAACTTTTGAACATGAACTTTGCAGTTTGAGTTTTACATTTCATATCGACTGGACTATTGCCAAGTGTCTCTTCAGCCTATGCATGTAGATACATTATTGCTAGTAACAGAGTTTCCCAAGGATGCCCTTGTTCCATCTGCTCACTCATGTAACTGAACAAAGCCCACTGCATACCACAAGTACCTACTGAGTGTTATTGTGAGAGACGATGAGTGCTAGGAATTATCTGATATGTTTATAAAGTGGTTCTTTCAGGGGAAGAAGTTTATGATATGGTAGAAGCCAGGAAGTGAACTGAATAACATATGTACCTAGCCAGAGAAAAAAATTAAAAGATGGAATTAAAAGGTGATCCAATGGCAAAAAAAATGGAAAGGGTAAATTTAAAATTATAATTAAAAATACATATGGATGCATATATATGCAAATATGTATACTTGTCTTTATATAACAACTTTATGTAACTCACAGCTAATTAATTGGCACCTCATTTTTGTTGTTCACAGGAGACCAAAATCAACTGTGTCCGTCTGGCTACAAAAGGTATGTTGGCATGTGCTTGTCTGTCTTCGGCTGTTCTTCAACCATTTAAGTATTTCTCTCTTTCTAGCCACACAGAGAAAGTTTAGGGAACAATAACTCAAAACAAGAAAGAATTGTTCTTTTCACTGGAGTCATTTGCATCTAGACTATACATTCTAGGGTATATATTAATAGCACAGTGCATAAAAGACGTAAAAGTTTAAAACATATTTACTGAAAGGATGGGTGGATGGGTAGATGAATGTATAAAAGGAAGGACTGGTACATTGATCAGTAGAGTGATGGATATAAATTTACTCAAATATTCTTTTGATATGTTTTTCTTATATTTGGGTCTTTGTTTTTATGTGGGTATTTTTTTAAGCATGTCTGTTAGACCCATCTTCTGAGTTTTGTATTTCATTCAATTGGTACATGGCTTTCAAAAATGAGGTGATGAGTACTGGTGCCTTTAACAATGAGAAGACAAACGCTGCATTATCATGTAGTTGGCATTTTCAATACTTATCCCCAAAACTAAGGCAGCATTGTTCAGGCTCATCACTTTTGTTTTCCTAATTATAATTGAATTGTCTGGCTCTTTCAATTGGTACATGTTTCTGTTTAATACTCTTTTTACAAAACACAATCAATGAATGGTTTGCTATCATTTAACCTATTACAGGGTTGAATGATTAGAAATCAGATTTATTTTTTTGTTACAGAGTTGATATTTTTAACAGCAAACCCTCCCCATACACACACAACAAAATTGGGCAATTCTGTTCTGTTCCCTGAATTTACTGATGCATACGTAGTTTCATAGACTGCTTCCAAGGAGATAAAATTTGTAAATATAAATAAGCATATAATCATAGATGTAAAGTGCAGACAAAAGCAATGACCCAAGTATGTGTGTGTACATATGTGTAAATATGTACACACATGCACAATGCACAGAACTACACAGAGAAAAACATACATGTGGGCAGAGTAGGGAGAAAAAGAGAGAAAAAAATCTACAGCTATTTGACAAAATGTGCAACAAGACTTATCACACATGATTTTTATAACTTTGAAGAAAATCAGCCCAATATGTAGGCACGAAAGAGAAGATGCAGGAGAAAGGAGAAAACCAAAGCACTAGGGCTCCCAGTGATAAGTCACCCTGATTTCATATAAGTCACAGAGGGTGGCATGTCCCTAACTTGTTCCCTCTCAGGAACTCAGGCTACTGGATGGAAGGAGATAAAATACTCTCTGTGAGGCAAGGAGAATTGATGGCCTGCAAACAAGAGTGACACAAATCACAGGTCTTGGCAGACTTTTCCACTGAAGAAAACAGATAATGTAGAAGGAAGAACACCATCCATTGGGTAGCACTAGGGCTCCAGACAGCAATCAGGACAGCTGGATGTCTGCAGCCCACTTAAATAGGCAGCTGGAGAGAGAAGGAAACTCACAGAGAAACCTCCTTCATTATAACATGCTCTATGGCTCCCCAGCAGCTTTTGACTTCTAGTCCAGGAGAGGTGGATGCAATGGATCTGCACTCCCTGGGGTAGGTGGGATTCTAGGGACAGCCTCTGGGGTATAATCTCCATAAAAGGGTAGCTTGCTGGGTCCTATTTTCTGAACTGAGAATTGGAAACATGAGACCTGACGGTCAATAGGAACATATGGGGACAATGGGAGAATGTCTAAAACTGTACTCTCCTGGAAACTTCAGGACTGCAGCCCTCAAAGGCATAGAAGCCCACCATGCTGAGCTTCTCTACAGTTGCATTGCTGATGTGCAAGAGAATTGCAGTGACATTTAAAGAACCAGACAGAAGAGTTCTCTACCTCTCCTTAGCATAAGGGCTTCCCCTCTTGTCTGAGCTTTAGGTTACCATCTTTCCTTAAATGAGTGGAGCGTGTATGTACGTAAAGTGAGGGTGTGTGAAAGGATAGGAATGCATGAATGAGTGCGAATGCCTGGCTATCCAAGCCCAGGCAGGGCTCTGATAGATCAGGGTATTGGGGAATCTGAGCATCCACATCCTGGTTTTCCAATTCAGTGAGACCCAACACTTGAACTCAAAGAAATGGGACTCCAGTAGCACTTGAGAATGGGGCAGAGGACTAAATAGTGCAGAATGCCAGTCAGACACTGTTTAGCTGCCCCTTCTCACCACATCAGATGAGAAGGATGCTTGGAGAGCATAGGACAAAGGGAAGCAGATCTGTGTTTGATGAGTGTCTAGTTGGTGCCGGGTATTATGCTTAGAGTATCTAGGGTTTATTAAAAGCAAACACTAACTATTATAAATCCATCCATTGCCTGTGAAGAGTTTGTATCAAGAACCTAAAGCCAGGAATCAGTATTCTGTTTATCCTATCCCTTCCTGACCAACAGGAGCAAACTCCCATAGTCAGGCTTGCTAAAAACAGTATTCTCTTTAACAGAGGAAGATACTGAGAGTCTCACAGATTTTGGAAGCATTCAAAGTCCCAGAGGTGGGTCATCAGTCTCTCCCAGGACTTTTCCCTTCTCTGTCATCATGGCACCTGCTTCATGGGTCTGATGGAAGGCATCCTGACCCCGAAGCTCACATGTCAGGCTCGAGACCAGTACTCTGGTGATAAAACAACTTGCTGCTGTCATATCCCTGACCCTGGAGAGTCCAGCCAGTGTCTGTGATCAGCTACAAGAATCCCACAGAACCAGATGGTTGCCAGTTGGAACAGCCCTAAGGACTCATTCAGGATCATTTTAACTTGACCCCAAGCCTAGTGCCCCTTACACGAAACTATTAGATACATACCTGGCTCCAGCATGTGTCTCCAACTCTTTTCTTTTTGTAACATTGCTTCTAGTAACTCAGGATCTAATTTGGTACTGCCCAGCTTGGAGGGTTGCAAAGTAATGGACCTGTATTAATTTCCTGTAGCTGCTGTAACGGAAGTCCTACAAATGGGTTGGCTTAAATAACACAAATGTATTGTCTCACAGTTCTGGAAGTCTGAAGTCTGAAATCAAGGTGTCTGCTGACTTGTTCCTTCTGAGTGCTGTGAGGAAGAGTCTGTTCTATGTGTGTCTCTTAGCTACTGGTGGTTTGCTGGCAGTCTTGGTCATTTCTTGGCTTGTGGAAGCCCCACCCTGATCACTGCCTTACCATCACATGACATTCTCCTTGTGTGTACGAATGTGTTCAAAATGCCCCTCCTTATGAGGATACTACCACGTGATCCAATAAGGACATTTGATGAGGATAGCAAAAAGCAAGGGGATTGCCTTGAATATAAGAACTAAAAGGATATTTTGAGCACTTTGCTTGATACGCTGTAGACCTGGGAACAGATCTGATCAGAGCCATAGAGAGAAAACTGCAGCCAATGAGTAAACAGGCATTAAATGATGGTTTGGATTTAAAGCTATTATTCAAGACTCTGAAAGGAAGACAACAGAAAGCCACAGAGCAAAAAATAGCAATTTAAAAATCAGGTTTTGTTCTTATGATTAAACCAGGAAATGTTAGAAAGGGCAAGTGAGCAGGGGAAGCATTTAGAACCATCAACAGTGTTTATCCTACCTTTGGAAGATGAGGGATGGGCTCAACATAGCCAGCAGGTTAATATTTCAGCCAGAAGTGCTCAAGATGATCCTTGAGAAAATGTAGCATGTGGAAGCTTGGGGTAGGGACTTAGACTTCAGAGGTGTTAATGCTAAACCAGGAGAGAAAACAACCCATCCCATGGGAGGTGCATTATCCCATCTGGTAAAAGATACCCTAGACTGCAGCTGCTAAAGGAGGTACCCAAGTATCTCAATTCATGCCCTCTGGCTGAGACAGAGCAGGACAAGGGAAAACTGTTTCTGGCCTAGTTGTTCAATTCTAGAACAGGTCAGTCCCCCTTTGAGAAACTGATACCCAGTTCCATCCAAGTACTTTTCCCCATCGATGTCCTGTCTTTCTAATGCTTCCCCTGCTTCCCTTTCTGCAGTCATCTGTTCATTTTGCTGCTTTCTCTTACCCACAAGCTCTATCCCACCATGCTTGCTTGCATGGTCTGAGCCCCCTCCTACCCTCTAGCCCCCTCGGAGCTTCCATACTTTTATTACTGTCTGACACATTGGTCTTCTTTCGGTTCTTCAGGCACATCAAACTCCTTCCAAGCTTGGGGCCTTTGCTCATCTTGCCCTCTTTCTGAAATGCTTTGGCTACTATGTGTCTCCTTAATACATAAATGTCTTAACAGATAAATATCTTAACAGATAAGTATTTTAAAGATGGCATCTTAAACCTTTTGTCCTTAGAAGCCCATCCTGATCTTTATTTTAATGTATATCTCCAATTTTCCACTTTCACTAAACCCTGTACTTTTCCTTCATAGCACTCATCACAACTTGCATATATATATATATATATATATATATATATATATATATATATATAGTCTGCTTACATGTTTAATGTCTATCTCTCTGCTAGACTTTAAGTGACGTAAGTGCAAAGACTGTGCTTATTTTGAGCACTGTTGTATTATTCCCAGATCTTAGCATATATTGGTACTCAATAAAATGTGTGTTGGCTGAACAAATGGATGGATAGATGAAAGGATGGATGGATGGATGGATGGATGGATGGATGGATGGATGGATGGATGGATAACTAACGGGCCATCATTCTTCCACGGCTTCATTATTTTCAAATGCAAGTTACATGTCAGGACTATTCTCTTAAAAGGTAGGAGTAAAAGTGACAGAGGTAAAGGGTCCTCTGTGGGATCTGCAATCCCCATTAACAAGAAAGCCAGCCAGTCTCTGCTTCTGTTCCTGCTGTGATAGGGATCTCTCTACCCACCACAGACTTGCTTCACACTTTGGATGCTTCAGTTTGAGGAAGCTTATATGTTATGAGTCCAGACTAGCTCCCTGTTATTTCTGCACATCAGTCCTTGAGGCCAAATAGATTCTGTCTCTCATTTTTCCTTCCAGAAAGTGAAATTTGCTTCCTCTGACCTGCTCCCCCTGCCTT